TTTCATCGTATTTGTTCCTTTTTTTTTTGAAGGGGGGTTACTGTGAAAAAAAGGCAAGGGTGATACGGTGGGAATCGAACCCACGACCGCGAGGTTTAGGAGCCAAGAGCACCTTAACACTGCGGTACCAAGTGATCGAAATTTTTACTTTTATAAAGATTTCATAAGATTAAAATAGGCTCTAGCGTCTTGAGCAGTAGAAAACGTTAAACCCTGAAAATCTACATGGAGTTTCTGTTCTAACATGTTTTTTCTGTGAAGCATGCTTGTGGCACGTCTACAAGGTTTCGAAGCTGTTATATCCTCAACTTAGATTCAGATTGCTTTAGAAGTTTAGAAAATCGCCTTTCTTTGTACTTGATCTTTTACCTGTGCCCAAATTTTTTCAGTTGAAAAATATAACCAGATACAATTAAAAAGAATGAACATATTGAGAGGTGGAAATAAAGAATTTTTTTTTAAATATAGTGGTAAACAAAGATACTTTCACCTTCATAATAATACGTTTAATAATGATTAAGAAAATTTTACAGCACCTGTTCTAAACTTCACCTAAAAATTAATAATTCACGTAATAGAAATGTTTCAACAAATCAGCTGCATTCCCAGCCTTATCTGTAATAGTGTAAAATAAAAGATCGGAATAATTGACAAAAATACGTTTGTAAAGAACAATTCACAATCAAACGGGAGACGACATGATGCCGATTCTGTCATCCTACAAGACAAGAGGGCTGACTAAAGGCAGCCTAAAAACCTCTATAAACCCGGAGAGGGTGGATTACCCCCTTCACTTCGAAGAAAGAATATTGCCACCGTGACATTTTCATTTTAATGAGAATGTTCCGTATCTGCTGCTTGTTGTGAAATACACTTTTACCGTTGAGTCTGTCTAAAAATAGTCGGACTAAAGAGATGTAACATATCTTTAACCTTTTGTTCACTTTATCTTCTTTTTTTTTAGCCTGAGGTGTTTTGCTTATACTTCGCTTCCGTGATCCATATATATATTAAGTTGATAGCATCACTAAAAAAACCATTTGAATATTACACAATGAAAATTCACTTTTCTGTTAATAAATTTGACTGTACCGGATTTAGACGTTCAGTTAATAATATATTTAAACGGTTTATGATCTTCTGTCGTTTTTTTACAAATAAAACAAGAGGAAAATGCTAGCAATTATGATCTTTTTGTAACTAAATTATCTATAATTTAAATAATTTATATATAACAATTTTTAATAATACCTACGACCACATTGGCAAATCAAGTCAGATTTTTGATTCCATCTGACATTAATTAACGTGAAAGTAATCGGACAAGGAAAAAGAACCAACTACAATATAGGAAAAAAAACACGTGTTAATAATACTTTTGCCTATTTAAAAGTAAGTATCAGGATAACTCAATGTATCCTCCTGTCACACTGAATTTGAAATTTTTTTAAATTTGAAAAAGTAATATGGAATTGTCCTGTTAAAATGATCAAAATACTGGTATCTAAAAATATGGTTAAAGGAAAAATGACGAGAAATGGTTTATGTAATTTATGAAAATAAATAGGCCTAAATACGTAACTAATGTTCAAAAAATGTAAACGTCTTTTTTATATATAAAAATTACAAAACTTTGACAACAAAAAATTACAAACTTTATTTAGAGAAACGACTTTAGGAAAAAATAAAAAATAAAATAAAGTAGTATAATTACATTACATAAAACATAATTTCTGATGTTTCACAATTGTAATGTAAAGGACGGTTGAAGTTCAACTTTTTAACATTGTAAATGTTAATATTTGTAAACCATGTAATCATAAAAAAAATTCAATGACCCCTTAAAGTAGGAATATTCCTATGAAATTTTGGCTAATGAACTTCCTTTTCACTGTTTTTTATTCAACTGAAATATTATTGCTGAATCGCTCAAATTAATATACAGAATGGAAAAGTTTAAGTGTTTTAAGTGTGATTGTATGATTGTCTTTTATCTTACAGAAAAAATGTATAAACAAAATATTAAAAATCATTTCAAATGTACCCTTGTAGGGTTCTATTTACTAAGATAAACTCAAAAATTTAAAACGATTGAAATCATAATTTTTAATGTTGTAATTATATCATTTTATTTGGTAACCGTGTATATCTTAAAAAAAAACAAAAAACATTTACGTTCTCTTGAAATATTTCTTGAAATTTGACAATGGAACTCGGTGTTATTTTGTTTTATATTTAATATCCTTAACACAGATTTATTTTTGTTTAGATTTCAAATATTATTGCTGATATCAATTACATCAAATTAGAAAACAGAACCATAAAATTTTATAATTATTAGGGTGATTGGATAATTATCAAAAATATTTGTTTGTTTTGCAAAAAAAATACAAATTCATTTCAAATTTCCCCGTGGTATATCTTGTCCACTTACAAACATAAATTTATAACAATGGAAGCAATAATTTTTAAAAATGTAATTATATGTTTGCATTTATTAACCGTGTATATAATTAAAACAAATTTAAATATCCAGTTAAAGGTGGAATATCCTTCAAAATCTTGGAAAAGGAACTGGGTGGTGTTTTTCAAAATTTTAATATTACTCATTTTGTATTTATATACCATTAAAATATCATCAAACATATCTAATTAATATGCATTATCGCAAAATTTTAGAATTATGTTGGTGATTTTATAATTATCAAAATGAATTATTCATACTGTAAACAATTGTAAAGAATAAATTATATTTAATTTCAAAATTCCCCGTGGTAGATATCATCCAATACTAAGTTCAACACATAAATTTATAAAGATTGAAGCCATAATTTTTAACATTTTAACTATATGTTTATATTTTTAACCGTGTAAATCATTAAAAAATTGCTATGTCCTGTCAAAGAAAATTTCTCAAAATCTGGACAAAGGATTTGTTTATTTTTTTTTCATCACTAACTAACACTCATAGCTAATATCAATCGCTTTAGATTAACCTGCAGAACCACAAAAGTTTAGAATTATTAGGATGATTTAATAATTCTCAAAAATATTTGTTCTTTCTTACGTCACTTCCTAAAGTTGATAATTTCACACCATTTTTTATAAATAATTAATTTTTTTGTCCGTGATAAAAATTCGTTGATTTAGTATGTAAACATCTTTTTAAAAAGATTTGACACACTTTAAATAATATGATAAAAGTTTTGAAATTTTTCTAAAAACTATTCTATTTCTTTTAAATTTCGAAATATAATTTTGTAAATAGATATATTTAAAAATAATGCTGAAAAACAATTATTTTATTGACCATTTTTCCTTCTTCTATTAGTTTTCTACGTCGGCTATACATTGGAAATAAATATATCTACAATTTCACTTCTCCATGTATGACAAACGTTAAAAAACATATACATCAAAAATGTCAAATACATTAATCATACACTATTTGTTTCTTTTTAATCTAAATGGACATCCCTAGGGGTGGGGGGTCAGCATTTTGACCGTTTTATATCATAAGCATTAATCTATTTCAACTAAAGTCATGTTAAATTGTAAGTATACGATGCTTGAATCTATCATTTCTTTAAAATAAAAATAATTCAAATTAATGACAATGTTAATTATTACTTTTTCAATAAGCTAAGGTTTCTGATGAAGACCACATTTTGATCGAGCAAGAAAAAATAATTATTGGATATTCCAAAAAAAAACAAAAAACAATTCTAATAAATATATTTAAAAAGTTTTATTGTATATTGCCTCCCCTATCTAGAAACAGCATCAAAACTACTGTTTTCCCGTAAAATGTTTAAGCGGGCCTTTTCGAACAGAAGATAGCTTTATGTGGCTCGGCAACATAACAAGCAACACACGGACCAAATGGCATTCTACAGGTAGCTGTCAGTCGAATAGGGCGCAACAGGATGAGGTATTTGGCACGACCTTTTCTCTATATTGGGTCAATAATAAATAAAACAAAAATCTATCTCTAGTTTAAATATCCAAAATTATGTGTCTACCTGTTATATTTTCGTCCTTCGTCTACGCAATCGGTGACGTAATCGATTCGTCACTTTATTGCGTGATCAAAGCATTTATGGTGTATAATGCTCGTATACAGTATATAAATTCAGAATATGTTGTGGTTAAATATGTTAAAGGGTGTGTCAATAATTATTAATATTTAATAGTTTCTCCTGTGCTATTTTAAAATTATGGGTCGAACAATTTAATTACTAAAGAGTTAACAAGTGGTTTTAAAAATTGAGAACACAGATTACATATATATATATATTATTAATTTTTAATTTAAAAGTTATCCTTTTGATAAAGCTTTTTTAGTTTAGTTACGACGATGGATGAAATTTATAATCTGTTAAGGCATCGTTTGGAATAAATGTAATAAATGTCATTTAATCGCATCATGCAAGAGAGTACATTTGTCAAGAAGATTAACCACCTGTTAAGAAGTGAAATCCGTAGAAAGCGGGTTAGCATTGAGCCGGCATCAGCTGAGTCGCCTGAAATGGGTAGAATTTCTCTTTGTCATTTCGTTTCTTATTTTCTTTTCTTTAACCATTGTCTTAGAGGCGGATTAGTGACAGCTAATTCTTGTCGAAAAGTTAATACAGGTTTTACCCAGTCGATTATGGCAGAAGAAGGGTCGAGTGTATTAAAACGGCATTGGTCTAAATTTGTCCGAGGTAGTATTTATCGGTTTATTTCCGTGGGGGTTTAATAAATTCAGGGTAGAACGCGCGGATCGATGTGATATTGTAACGACCGTCGTGACTCAGTGCGGCTCACATCACGAAAAGGAAGTGTTAACAGGCACGTTATAATTTCAGGGCCGTGCGGTTCCCCGGACGGGGTGCAACGAGGGTAGTTTTAATACCGGCAAGTGAATCACGAGGCAGGGATCAATATTGGGGCTGTCCGGCTGGAAGACAACCGACAGGGGATAAAGGTTAAAAAAACTCAATGGAAAATCCACTTACCGTTATCGGTGTTCTGTTCGAAAAATACTTGTTCCTCGATTTGAGCCTGTTCCTGGCTGGTAGCACCTTCGGGACTGTTTTCACGTTGGTTCTGGTATTTGTTGCACGCTTTCTTCACCATGTAGCAGCGCGGCATTTTGCTACTTCATCAGACGGATCGGACGAGGACCGAGGGGTGTCCGTGGAATAATTACTTTCGGCAAGAATCTTTTCAATCGACCTGTCCCTTCATCGATACACACACTTTATTAATCTCGGCTAAATCACAGAGGTGACATTCGTTGTAACGTTGCACTTTTAAGACAAAATTAGGCACGGTTTGTTAATTGTACGTTAGAGTTACAGAAAGAGAGAGAGAAACGGATGTCGAGAGAGATAGAGAGAAGACACACAAACGGAAAATAGATACGAGGAAGATGCGAAGTGAGAGGCGAACGGGTATATGCTACGATCCACCACTCCCTTTGGAGTGGAGCGTGGGGACGCTCGACGTCGGGGGTGGTTTTGATGGGAGCATGCGCCACCGTCCCCACCACTCATCGACCCGTACGGGACAACACCTGTTACCAACCCTTATATCGATTCAACCCCTCATACGGACGATCCGCACCCAGACGCACGCTCCACTCTTCCCACTCAATAATTACTATTCCCAAATAGTCATCTACTCAGAAATCACCGGATGACATCTCTTATCTCATAATAAAAAGCATTTTGAAAAGACTCTCGGAATTGTTTTAGTCCTGATAACAATCAATCTGGAAAAAACTGATTTCAAGGAGGCAGTAGTGTGTTTATTATAGTTACACATATAGACATATGTTAGCGAGATTTATAGTACATACTTCACACTCCGAATAAGGAAAAACGAATATAGGATCATAGATTTTATCAAACAGTAGTTATTTAACTTGAGTGAAAAAAAATTATTTTAAGTAATTTTCTAATTGATTTTTTTCTGCCTTTTTGCACAAGTTTTTTAAGGTTATTATGTATCAGTAGGCTTGGGTTTTTTCGTAAAGAAAAAACCAATGAGCGAAATGGTATTTACTAAGGATAAATACATAAAACTAGACCTAAAACTGTCCATAATATACAACCTAATAGAAATAGACGTATATAGAAAACCCACAACTACAGACACTATGATACCAGCGGATTCTTCCCACCCATGGTCCCAAAAGGCTGCTGGTTTCATTTGGCTCATAGACCGGATGTTAAAACTTCCGCTAACACCTGATAACTATAAAAAAGAATTAAAAACTATTAAAACCTTAGCAAAAAACAACGGGTATCAAGAAATATGTATTGATAGGTTGCTAGCTAAAAGAATAAAAAAATTAACTTTAAACGAATCGACAATAGGACTCAATCACCCCACCACAAATGAATCAGTAAGTTTCCGTTGTTTGCCATACATTGGTGAATTATCGGAAAAAGTTAGTAAAATTTTTAAACAAGAAGGTTTTAGAATAGCTTTTAGAAGTACGGGTTCACTTAAAAACATCCTCTCAAAACATAAAGACAAAGTAGACATCTTGGCAAAAAGCGGGGTTTACCAACTCAATGTAATGATTGTGATATTAAATATATAGGACAAAGCGGTAAAGAAATAAAAAAAAAGGGTAAAAGAACACTTGCCTAAATCGAGCAAATTTTCGGAATTTAAGGACCATCTAAAAGAAACAAAACATAATTTCCGTTCAAATTTAAATACAAGAGTGTTACATAGTTTCAACAAAGGGAAAGAACTAGATTGGTTTGAGAAATTTGAAATTAAAAAATGTAAAATTGAACTTGGTAATAAATGCATTAATAATATAACAGATTTTGATCTACCTCCCATTTTAAATATATACATAAATAATATCAAACATCCAAGTAATTAAACTAATTATTTTAATCGTTATTATTTTTATAGTAATTTATAGTAATATTAAGTATTTATTATTGTAATATTTATTTGTGTTATAATTTCCGCGTTTTGCACGTTCAAATTGAGCGCCATTAAAAAAATCAGCTGCTAATTGGAACGTCGCGTTGGCGGAGGTATCAGCGGGTTCACTTTGGCAATTCATGTCGAGAGACGTGGTTGTAGAAGTCCTTCAACCTGATGATGAGCTAAAAGGCTCGAAATCCGGATCGTTGCAAAACAACTTACTGCGAGTAGGACCTATCCTTTTAAAAAGTACATAAAACTCTTCCATAAAACTAGCTCAAAAGAAATTGTTTTTTCACAAACGAATTCCGATTCTTTCTAAGCATTCTGTTAACCAATAAATATGAATTTTCTAAGAAACAAACTAACTGTTCCAATTAAAAAAACTATATATATGTATGTATTAATACTATGTATAATGTCCTCTTTTAGCTAACAACTGTGTATACATTTTAGGCATACTGTTACTATATTAAAGTTGTTACTTATTTCATAAGGAATTTCACGCATTGATGTTGCAACGATACACTCAGTTGTTGCAGGTCTACTGGCTGCGGGTGGTAATAAAAAAGCCTTTTCTGGAACGGATCTCACACGTGCTCCATGGGATTGAGGTCTGAAGACAATGGAGGAAGAGGCAGATGGTACATTACCAGGATTTGTAAACACTGAAGAACAACTCTGCCTCTTGGAGGCCAGACATCGAAAATCCCTACCAAAGAAATCCCTGATTTTAGGGATGTATTCCTCGATAATTTCCTAGACATGACGGACTGCGGTGAGGTTCCCTCAACAATATGCCAGTACGCCACCCTAGACCAATACACCGCTTCCTCCAAAGTGCACTGAATAGAGCACCAACTGAGGTATTGTACGCATCCCTTTTCCCAGTAGGCTCTTTAGCGCTTGCGATCCATATACAGACCAAAACGCGCTTCATCAGTAAACTTAACAGTATTCCAAGTGGTGCTCTGCTCTAGACGCTCGCTGCAGTACATTCTTATGACTTGCTGGTGGCGGGCTGTTGCTGCAGGACTTCTCAAAGGGGCAACGATCCGGGGCCGACTTCCCACGATTACGAATCATTTGTGTTGATAAAGGTTATATCAAAGCACCTTGTACTTCATTTAGGAACTGGAGGGCACTATGAAAAGGCATCTAGCAGCAACGAAATGTTTCCATACATCGTAATGGGCTGAGATCCACTCCCAGCCTTCTATTAAAATTTCCAGTCTCTCACAATCAGGCTAAAGCCCGGGAGACAACTCTCTGAGAAACGCCAACTGCCTCGGCGATATCAACTTGCAGGTCACCTCGATGACTCATTCTCACGACAATATTGTTAACTTCTGGTTCAAGAGGTCTGACCATGGTTAAAGAGAATACAAGTGGATTAAAATTGAGAAAAGACGTTAAAAGGAGTATGGTTACAAAATGAGTAACCTTCACGATTATTATTCTTAAGTAAATCTTTAATAAAAATTTGTTTGTTTTTTATTTTCTATTTTTTACCAATCTATCATGAATGTATCGGTTAATTTAATTAAAATTAATAGAATAAGAATAAATTACAAATATTCCTATTCATTTTTGAGCATTTTTGTATATATACACGAACACTTTATAAATTTAAAAATCCCAATAGCGCTGAGGTAACCGAAGAAGGATCTGTGCCCGCCACCGTGCCCAAGACCACTCACAGGTACGGTGATATGTTAAAATAATGTTTATATACGACAAACCTTCTATAATTAAAAAGGTCGAACGTTATTTTATTTTTGCATAACGGGCGAGAAGATACCCGTGAGTTATTTTTTATGACCTCTGCGTCGTCTTGTCAGTAAATTTTTCCGTACCGAGACCGACGGCATTATTAACCAACCCAGTTCGGCACGGTTATATCTATTTTAGTATATATATTTAGACAATTGTACAACTTTTCTTTGTCCTAATGTCACAAAAAATCCGTAATCTCTTTTCGTCTGTACTCAAAATATTTACAATCACGAGAATTCGATTAGGCCAGTGGAGTTAACGAAAGTAAATACGCATAGTGATATGAAATGAAATAAATAAGATTGTAGAATATGTCTTCTTGAACTATACAAATTACAAAAACCCAAAAAATACAGACACAACCTTAAAAATAAAAAAATAAAACAGGGGTATAAAATAAAATGTATGATCAGGTTAAATCAATTTAATCCTTATTGTACTTACTTATAACAATTCATAAGGTTGAACTTAGTTAACATAATCTAAATGAATAAAAATAAAACTTTAGAACGGTGGTAATAATTTTGATTTTGAAAAAAATTCTAAAAAATTGTACATTTTTAAGTGGAAAATATTTGAAGAAAACTTTAAGCTCCTCTGAACCAGGCCAAAACTATTATTCGTTTGCTGCAAACATTTCGATTAATGGGCTTTAAATTGGGTCTGAAATAAGTCAAAATTGATTTTTCAGTTATTTGAAATATTAGCTTTCTTTCGGCTTCAAGGTCCATTTGAACGGGTGTATTTCTATTTTTCCACTTAGCAATACAAAAAAGTTCTATAGTAGATTGTAGATTGTAGATTGTAATTTCAGGGTGTAGTATACTGCGCCCTTTGAGAGCTATTTTATCCCCCGTGCCTAAAGCACATCGGTGAGTCCTATTTCATCAAGAAACTTGATTAATAGGCCCGGTTTCAGTGGTTGAAGCTCTTCTACGGTCACATTGTACATCCCAAAACACTTCCTCCTGCGGGCTAATGTAGCTCCGCAGTTTGTTAGTAAGTGTGTTGGTGTCTCTTCTGCTTCCTTGCAGAATCTACATGTGCCATCTTGGATTATTCCAATTTTCTTTAGATGTCCATTTAATCTACAGTGTCCTGTCAGGAATCCTGTTAGGATTCGCAGNTGTATTTATGAGACCCCTGTCCGTTTTTCGTTTTATTCTTTTTACTTCAATCACCCCCTGGCTTGACAGTTCTTCTTTGATTTCCTCCTCAGAGCATATTAGTAAATCTCGTGCTGAGATTACGCCCTGGGAGGAATTCAGCTTTCTGTGGGGGGAGGTTTTAACAGGGGTTGCGCCGAGGTGTTTAGTCTCCATGACCATTTTGGCCTGCAGAGAGTCAGTAACCTCTATACTCAGGATTCCTGATGACAATTTCTTTAGATTTTTAACTTTTCCCATTTGTTGGTTGACTACACGGCAGATCTGGATGGGGGAGTCATCTTTAAAATCCCCCTCTTTTTTTTCCATGATCCAGTATCTTGTGAAATTCTTTGTCATCTGGTCTTCACTATCACTTCCGCTCTTTTCTTTTCTAATTCTTTTCCTTTTTTTGGACTCCGGCTCAAATGGCTGCAGTGTCCTCACTAATTCGGTGTTACCTTTTCCGTTCCTAGCAGTATCCATACGTTGGGTGGCGCTGCTCTCTCCACCAACTCCAACGGGGCCCGAGTGAATAACGCCGAGGGTGGCCTGTGCCCCCGACGTCACCGGCATTTCGCCTTCCGGATATACGGCGTTTTTTTTTGTATTTTTCGGAG